CCTCTACAATATCTTTCCAAATGAGAAGTCACAGCCACCATATGTACAAGATAGCATAGGGGAGCACAAGACCCTTGATTTAAAGGGAAAAGGAGGCCAGTTGTAGGATGGGATGGGGGAGTAGGCAGTCAGCTGGGTTATTACTTTGGGATTCATGGCTTTTTCTACTATGCAGATATCTGATAGAAAATATTAGACCTCAAACTCTAGCTGATTGCAACTGATATGAACATTTCACACAGTTCTGTAGAAACACTGCCCAAATTGATATCATGGCCATGAACTCAAGATTTTTACCTTCTTAGTGGTTAGTTTATCATTATACCCTTTTTTGAAAGGTGGTCTGGGCATGATATCCAAATGCATTGTTTACCTTGGAAAAGAAACCGCTTCCCTCATATACTTGAAGGGTCATTTCTACTGTATCTCCACCAAATCTTCTACTTTGGCTTTAGTGAAGTCATGCCTATATTTAATTTGGCCACTGAAGGCTAATATGTAGTAAAGTTACAATGTGAGACAACGATGATCTGCAAGCTGTGTGCATGAGAAAAAGGAAGTGGTTTCTTTTAGAAAAATCCACATGTTGGTCAAATAGTTCAGGGTCACTGTGACTATGGCCTTCATCATTAGGGTCTCCTGGGTTTGCTGTACTTATCAAAAGAGGATTTTCATACCACGTTTTACCATTTTCTTATTAAAGATCTGATCTCTCCAGCTCTCATTGCTGTCAATGGAAAAACTCATGGGATCTGACCTCCCCAAATAGTCGGAAGTGCTGGAACTAGCATTTCCTGTTGCACCTTGGCTGGGATCCAGACTAGATAGCTGAGAAGGGAGAATTTTATAGTCACTAAGCTTTCAAAGCGAACATCTATATCCCCATCGGAATGGTTAAGATAACACCAAATCCTGGCAAAATGCCTAAAATTAAAAATAAGATGATTATACAAAAAGTCATTTTCCTTGGATGGCAGTCTAGTCTCTCATGTTGCCATTGTGGGAATGTGAATCTTCAACCCACGCTGCTCTTGGGGGCCTGGATGGGGATTTAAGAATTGTTTACAACTCACAATGAAAATGAAATCATAAAGTCAGCTCCATGTTGCAATTCTTGCTAGGATTTGGGAAGTGGAAAGAGGAATATCTAAAAATACTGGTCAGTGAAGAATATTCCAAGTAAGATTAGTGACTATGTATAAAAGTACAAGACAAGTGAGGATACTGGTGTTTACTTGTTGAGCACTGGCATTGTGCTCAGAGCTATATAGAATGTGGAACAGAAAAGGCCCCTGCTTGGAGTTTACCATTTTGAGTAAGACTGTTAAAGCAGAACTTGTTAAGGTGTCAAGGATACAAGCAGGACATAGCTGGTCAGAGCTTGATCCTAGAGGGTAACAATCCAGGGGATCAAGAACAGAGAAGGGTAGGAAAATAAGGATCCCAGTTAGAGTTGGGGAATCAGGAGTAAGCAGGTCAGGAGGTCAAGGTCTGTCAATGACTGGGATCTATGTAGCCACTAGGTAGAACCGCAAGCCAAGTCAAGGGGGGGGGCGGGGGGGGATTAGGAACAGGGGGCAGGGAATCAGACCAGAGGCAGACCAGAGCCTGGAGCTGAAGCGGGTCAAGGAGCTGGAAATAGTCTGAAAGCACAGGGTCTAGGCTGGAGCCTGAAACAAGGATGAAGCAAGGAAGCTAAGAAGCAGTAAACAGGAAACCAAGAACACATATAATCAAGACTAGGACACTAGGAACAACCAGGCAGGACCAAGGGACTGGAAAACTAGGAATCAAAGGTAGGAACCAGAGAACTAAGAATAAAGCAGAAGAAGCCCAGAACTAGACAAAGAAGCATTTGTCTTACCGAATAGCTTGCTAGGCACTGAAAAGGCTGCCTGCTTGTAAGTGAGCAGCCATACTTACACTGGCACCTGGCATCAGCTGATTAGTTGGGCCACTGGCCCTCAGAACCACTTAAGTAACCAGGGCCAGCCTGAAGGTGGTTTAGCCTACCTGCTGTCTTAGTTCCTGGCAGAAGGGGACATGAACTGCACGTTTTGGAAAGCTACGTGTAGGG